TGAGTTCAGAGGTGTGACACTCTTGGAATGGTGCTCTGCACCCGGTAACCAATGCACAGGGTGGGCGAGATTATCAACAGAGAGTTCTTGCCGTCACACAGGGCCCGGTTAAATGGAACCGTCTTCACACAGGCTCAGCCTTCCACACAGAGGTGAGGCCGGCGCCCGCTGTTCTCGTGGCCCACGCCAGTAGCTATCCAGACCGCTCCTCCTCTAGTTTGCTGTATGTGCCTGCCTGTCTCCTACGTTAAACTGTAGTGTTTGAAGATGGACATTACTCTAATCCTGGCTCCTTTACAGACTCAAACATCTTCCACACACCTGGAGGCAGGAGGCTTTCACTAAACACGTGCTAGATGGAAATTAAACTGAGAAAGGGAACAGAGTCAGACGTCTGGAATGCACAGCCTTATGGGTTCCATCTGAGGACAGAGTCTGAGAGCCCAGGCATTGCCTCCACTTCTCTACCCACTCGAGGAGTATTCTCAGCAGCCAAGAAGCATCTGAGAATGCAAGGACCTGAACGTGGCTGTGGAAAGAGCTGCGTGTGGCTGTAACCTGGGTGCTGTCGGGAGTCCATGAGTGTGCTGCAGCTGCAGTCAAAACAGTGCCCAGCGCTCTTTCTTTTTCCCTAGAGACTTGCTAGGGAGTTTGCATTGAGTGTTCAATGGGGCCTGTGAGACAGGCCCCAAAATTAAGAGCCCTTGACTTACTTATTTAGAGACAAAGGCCCTTCCGAAGGGCCTTACAACTGAAGGAAGACACAGCTATCTTACAAGGCACAAACCCACCAGCTAGGAGGACTGCAGGATGGATGCTTGGAGTGTGGAGGAAAGCCAGGACAGCCTCTGTAAAATGGTCCAGATTAGGAGCCCAGCAAGGAGGGCGAATAGTAAGGCCCTGGGAACCTCGATGGCCTTCTCCTCCTGGGGCTGTGAAGCCAAAGGTCACCTATGATGACAGGAACCCCCCGGCTTGGGGCACGAACATTGGCCATTTGACTCAGTCTGGCTGTAAGAGTTATTTTCTGTCAGCGTGACTCAAAAACATACTGTGCCAGATCCAGACACACAAAATGAGGCCATCCACCTAATGATTGTGCAGAGCCTTAAGTGACACTTAAAAATCAGGGCGAGCCTGGTACCAGAACAAAAGGAGACAGAGACCTATTAGTGCGGGGTCCCAGCAGCAGTGCNACAACTGAAGGAAGACACAGCTATCTTACAAGGCACAAACCCACCAGCTAGGAGGACTGCAGGATGGATGCTTGGAGTGTGGAGGAAAGCCAGGACAGCCTCTGTAAAATGGTCCAGATTAGGAGCCCAGCAAGGAGGGCGAATAGTAAGGCCCTGGGAACCTCGATGGCCTTCTCCTCCTGGGGCTGTGAAGCCAAAGGTCACCTATGATGACAGGAACCCCCCGGCTTGGGGCACAAACACTGGCCATTTGACTCAGTCTGGCTGTAAGAGTTATTTTCTGTCAGCGTGACTCAAAAACATACTGTGCCAGATCCAGACACACAAAATGAGGCCATCCACCTAATGATTGTGCAGAGCCTTAAGTGACACTTAAAAATCAGGGCGAGCCTGGTACCAGAACAAAAGGAGACAGAGACCTATTAGTGCGGGGTCCCAGCAGCAGTGCACGCCGGCGGATGGCTTGCAGGGAACCCTGACGCAGGAGCCTGTTTTATTTGCAGAAGCCGCAGTGGTAAATTAGAGCCCATCCTTGCCCATCTGGACTCACCCGTTTCTCTTGGAGCTACTGCTATCGCTGCCCATAGACCACTAAAACCTGCCCACTCTCAGAATGATTGATTCTGCTCAAACGGCGAGCCACAAACTCATGTCGAAAAACCCACTTCAAACACGTCATTAGCTTCCTTTATGGGTTTTTCAGGTCATAAGGAATAGGGCCTGGGAGTCCTATCTTCTGTAGAATAGAAAGGGAGTGTTTGGAGAGGTGGGGCGACCTGAAGGAGGCACAAGGTACTGCATGGGCTCCTCTGTTTTCTCTCAATCGACAACAGGGATCTGGCAAAACTAGGCGCCGGCAGCCTCGCCTTCAATGCTAGATACTCAAACCCAACCAAACCGGTGGTCTTCATTCACGCACTGGGAGTGAGGGGAAACAGAGGGGGGTTAGCTCCCCATCCTTGCTCCCACATCAGAGTCTGGAGAGCACCTGGAACTCAGAAAGTAATGGAGGAGCGCCTGAGACTTTCTGACTAGTCCGGGCACAGCCCATTCCAGCTGAGCTGCGATGGAGAACCTGCGGCAGGTGGGGCAAAGCATCCTGGTGCGAGGAGCCATGGCCATGGCAGTAACCCAAAGGCACCGACACCTGAAACGTGAGGTCTGTAGCTTGCGAGCTTCAGCTCCCCGCCCGACCCACGTTTAGCAATTCTGATGTACCGTGGACCAGACAGCTCCAGCCCGGGACGGCTGCCTCCCTCGGCCCCTCTCCGACAGGCAATGAAAGCAAGACCCACTTTGAAAATTCCCCCCATCATGCAAACTGACACAGGCATGCGTTTCAAAAACCCACAGCCAATCTGTTGATCATTACTTATTTACAAAGGCCTTCGGGCAGAAAGTCCTGTAAAAACCACACTTGATAGGGTATACACTAGCTGTTTCTGCTTGTGGAAAAAAAGTCCCCTCAAGGCTACCTCAAACCATCACTTTCTATTGCACGTAAAATGTAGCGTGTAACACTAAAGTATTTAATATATATGGTGTAATGTATCTACGGGAAAGGCATTTGTGTAGAAGTGTGTTGCCCTGGATTTGGTAATTTGATGTTTTGCTGAAGGCTACGACTTAAAAAAGCTTCCACGTCCTACAGAAGGCCTGTCATCTGGTACCCAAGAGCCAACAGAATAAAGAAGGACCCTTAAGCAGCGAAACTTTGACACAGCTTTGAAGCATATGAAAACAGTGTAACTCCTCAGAATTATTATTACTCGAGATCAAAGGAATAAGCCGTACTTTACATAGCAAACAGGGACAGGGAGTTTGGCTCCAAAGGTTTCAGATTTTTCAGACTTCTCCTTATTTATTTATTTGCATCTTTAAATTTAGGCAAAAGAAAGGGTCTGGGCTTTTCTCAACTTTATGTGGATAAAACTATTAGCGTTAGATAAGGCGATTTACCTAAAGGTGAGTGGATGGGAAATGAACAGCTCGCCTGACAACTGGCTTCCTAAGAACGAGAAGCTTGGCGGTCGGCGCCTTTTATTGCTCCTCGTAAGTGGTAAACAGGCATGTAAATCAGCGAGACCCAGCGAGACCGCGCAGGGGGAGGCGCAGGGCTGCTTAGGGGACACTTAGCGGGAAGAGGTGGTCACAACGGAAAACCTCAGCGGCGTGGAGGCCTGCCTGTCTCCGTCCCAGAAAGGTGCCGAGGGCCAGGACAGGTGGGTGCGAGGGACGGGGCGGGGGAATCAGCATCGCTGTATTTCAGTAGTCTAAGGGGGAAGGGCACCCACGCAAATAAAGGGGAGAAGGTGAGGGCGGAGCACTTGGGGAGAGCCCTGCCCACCTGTCACCACCCTGCCCCTGCCCCAGGCGCTGAGCAGGGGGCTGGGGGAACGAGCACTGCGACTGGCAGGTGAGTGGAAGGCAAGGAGGGAAGACGAAGGGTGAGGCCAAGAGGAGAAACGTGCAGGGCTGCTGAAATTTGGTTTCACTGTTTCCTATAGGAGGCCATAGTCTGGGGAGGGGAGGGGAGG